TATATATATTTATATTTTTGTATATATATATATATACACACAGGAACAGGCGGATGAGGCGTCAATTGAGCTGGACATTGGTACGGGATATGTGTGCGCACATGCAGGAAGCAAGCTCATCGCCGACATGTCACGTGTGACAAAGAAGAATCCTCCGTCTAAGCTCAAAGTGCAGGTTGTGTACGCAGCCAGCCGCAGCGCGGCTGCTCCGCTGGCGCTCTTCGAGGTCGCCCAATCAAAAGGCGTTGTTTCAGCGGCGAGTGATCTGATTGGCTCGTTGTTTAATATGTTTGGGTCTAAGAAGAAAGACAAGGGAGCCTCGGGTGGCGCTGGGGCGGCTGCGGGCAGTCACAGACAGGCCGCGAGTTTCTTTGACGAGTTTAATCCGTACCGAGACAAAGGTGAGGTGTTTAGGTTTTGTGGGTTTTTTTAGGGTTTAGGGTAGGGTGTTGTATGGGAGAAGGGATATAAAAGGTAAATGTGAGAAAGGGGAGAGCCAACATATGCTGTGTGGGATGTGTGGTATATAGTCAATCTGTACTGAGACAAAAGTAAAGCGATAAGGTGCTTAACAATGGTAAAGACAAAGGTAGGACGGTTCGGTTGTCGGGTTTAGGGTTTAGGGTTTTAGGATATAAAGTTTAGGGTCTAGGATTTAGGGTTTAGATTTTATAGGACCCTAATTGAGTTGTGTGGTTTGTCCATCGACAGGGCGGGTGTTCATTGGCTTTGCGACTCATCAGACGACTGGTGCATCGTTCCACGTGTCTGCGCCTGTCATTCCAACGGTATGTGTTAGGGTTTAGGGGTTTAAAACAGTATGTGGATATGTAAGTCTGTGCGTTTGTACGCAGTTGTTATCGTTTGTGATCTATCTGTGAATGTATGCGTCTTTTATATATATATATATATATATTCATGTACGCATATATTATCGTTTGTTATCTGTGGATGTATGTGTCTTTAATGTATATATGTATATATTCATGTACGCAGATATTATCGTTTGTTATCTATGGATGTATGTGTCTTTAAATATA